CTTTCACCTTCCTCAACCAAGATCTTCTCTAAGTCTTCTTGGGTTTCCTTTGCTTCAGCAAGAACCCTCTCTAGCTCCTTCTTGACTTCTCTCTCCATAGAATTATCGGATTCTAATCTATGCTTCACTTCAGTTTCTTGGGCGAGTACCTTCGCTAACTCTTGCTTGGTTTCTTTCTCCAGCAATAGCTCAGACTCTAAAGCCTTCTTGTTTTCTCTTTCCTCAGCCAGGGTTATCTCCAATTTCTGCTTAGTTTCATTTGCAATAGATAGGACATTCTCCAATCCCTGATTGATTTCTTTCTCTTCAGCAAGATCTCTCTCTAGATTTTTCTTGGCTTCTTTCTCTGTGGAAACCTCTGATTCTAATACATGTTTAGCTTTAGTCTCTTCAACAAGAGCCATCTGTAATTCCAGCTTGGTTTCTCTCTCTTCTGCCAACATCGTCACTAATCCATGTTTGGAATCTCCCTCCTGGCTTAGTATTTTCTCTAGTTCTACTTTTGCATCTTTCTCCTCCACTATGATCATCTCCAGTCCCCGTTTGGCTTCTTTCTCCTCAGTAAGCTCCTTCTCCAGTCCCTGTTTGGCTTCGCTTTCTTCAGTAAGCTGTTTCTCTAGTCCCTGTTTAGCTTCTTTCTCCTCAGTAAGTTCCTTCCCCAGATCCTGTTTGGCTTCTTTCTCTTCAGCAAGCTGCTGCTCTAGTCCATGTTTGGCTTCTTTCTCTTCTCCAAGCTGCTTCTCCAGTCCCTGTTTCAATTCATTTATAGCAGAACGCTCTGCCTCCACTGTCCTCCCGACTTCCTTTTCTTCTCCAAGTTCCTTCTCTAGTTGCACCTTGGAATCTTTTTCTACAGAAAGCTCATTTTTCAATGCCTCTTTCACATCTTTCTCCTCACTCAAGGTCTTCTCCACCTCTTGTTTGCTTTCCTTCTCATCAACTAAGGCATTTTCTATTCCCCGCCTGGCTTCATTCAATTCAGCAAGTATCTTCTCTAACGCCTCTTTGGCTTCTGTTGCCAACAATAACTCAGATTGTAACGATTTCTTGCTTTCGCTTTCCTCAACTAGGGTGTTCTCTAATTCTTGTTTCGTTTCCTTTACTTCACCAAGAGCCCTCCGTAGCTCCTGCTTGGCTTCTCTCTCCATAGAATTATCAGATTCTAATCGATGCTTCACCTCGGTTTCTTGGGCAAGTACCTTCGCTAACTCATGCTTGGCTTCTTTCTCCATCAACAGCTCAGATGCTAAAGCCTTCTTGCTTTCTCGTTCCTCATCTAGCATCTTCTCCAATTCCTGCTGGGTTGCATTTGTATCTGATAGATCACTCACTAATTGCTGTTTCGTATCCTTCTCTTCAGCAAGAACCCTCTCCAAACCCTGCTTGGCTTCTCTCTCCGTGGAAAGCTCTAGTTCTAATCCACGTTTATATTCAGTCTCTTTAACAAGAGCGCTCTCTAGTTCCAGCTTGGCTTCTCTCTCTTCGGCCAACAACGTCCCTAATCCATGTTTGGCATCTCCCTCCTGGCATAGTATTTTCTCGAGTTTTATTTTTGCATCTTTCTCCTCCACTATGATCGTCTCCAGTCCTTGTTTAGCTTCTTTCTCTTCAGTAAGTTGCTTCTCCAGTTCCTGTTTGGCTTCTTTTTCTTCAGTAAGCTGCTGTTCCAGACCCTGTTTAGCTTCTTTCTCTTCAGTAAACTGCTGCTCTAGTCCCTGTTTAGCTTCTTTCTCTTCAATAAGCTGCTTCTCCAGTCCCTGTTTGGCTTCTTTCTCTTCAGTAAGCTGCTTCTCCAGTTCCTGTTTAGCTTCTCTCTCTTCAGTAAGCTGCTTCTCCAGTCCCTGTTTAGCTTCTTTCTCTTCAATAAGCTGCTTCTCCAATCGCTGTTTGGCTTCTTTCTCTTCAGTAAGTTGCTTCTCAAGTCCCTGTTTGACTTCCTTCTCTTCAGTAAGCTGCTTCTCCAGTTCCTTTTTAGTTTCTCTCTCGTCAGTAAGCACCTTCTCCAATCCCTGTTTGGCTTCACTTTCTTCAGTAAGCTGCTCCTCTAGTCCCTGTTTGGCTTCTTTCTCTTCAGTAAGCTGCTTCTCTAGTCCCTGTTTGGCTTCTCCCTCTTCAGTAAGCTGCTCCTCTAGTCTCTGATTCAATTCATTTTCAGCAAAAAGCTCTGCTTCCACTCTCTTCCTGATTTCCTTTTCTTCTCCAAGTTCCTTCTCTAGTTGCACCTTGGCATCCTTTTCCACAGAAAGCTCAGTTTCCAATGCTTCTTTCACATCTTTCTCCTCAATCAGGGCTTTCTCCACTTCTTGTTTGATTTCCTTCTCATTAACTAAGGCCTGTTCTAGTCCCCGCCTGGCTTCATTCAATTCACCAAGTACCTTCTCTAACCCCTCTTTGGCTTCGTTTGCCAACAATAACTCAGATTCCAATGATATCTTGCTTTCTCTTTCCATAACCAAGGTCATTTCTAATTCTTGTTTGGCTTCATTTGCAACAGACAGGACATTCTCCAATTCCTGTTTGGCTTCTTTCTCTTCAGCAAGAGTTCTCTCTAGCTCCTGCTTAACTTCTCTCTCCATAGAAAGCTCAGATTCAAATAGTTCCTTCACTTCTTTCTCCTCAAACAGGGTCTTCTCCAATTCCTGATTGGTTTCATTTGCATTTGATAGATCACTCACTAATTGCTGTTTGGTTTCTTTCTCTTCAGAAAGAGCTCTCTCTAGCTCTTTCTTCGCTTCTTTCTCTGTGGAAACCTCTGATTCTAATACATGTTTAGCTTCAGTTTCATTAGCAAGAGCTATATGTAATTCCTGCTTGGCTTCTCTCTCTTCTGCCAACATAGTCACTAATCCATGCTTGGTGTCTCCCTCCTGGCATAGTATTTTCTCGAGTTTTATTTTTGCATCTTTCTCCTCCACTATGATAGTCTCCAGTCCCTGTTTAGCTTCTTTCTCTTCAGTAAGCTGTTCCTCCAGTCCCTGTTTCAATTCATTTACAGCAGAAAGCTCTGCTTCAACTGTCTTCCTGATTTCTTTTTCTTCTTTAAGTTCCTTCTCCAGTTGCACCTTGGCATCTTTTTCTTCAGAAAGCTCAGTTTCTAATGCCTGCTTTACATCTTTCTCCTCAATCAGCGCCTTGTCTAATTCCTGCTTGCTTTCTTTCTCACTAGATAATGCCTTCTCTAATTCTTGGTTGGCTTCTTTCTCCATCAATAGCTCAGATTCTAAAGCCGTCTTGCATTCTCTTTGCTCAACCAGGGTCATCTCTAATTCCTGCTTGGTTTCATTCACATTAGATAGGATATTCTCCAAATCCTGGCTGGTTTTCTTTACTTCAGCAAAAGCTCTCTCTAGTTCCTGCTTTGCTTCTCTCTCCGTAGACACCTCATATTCTAATCCATGCTTTACTTCATTCTCTTGAGTAACCACATTCTGTAAACACTGATTGGCTTCTTTTTCCAGCAGTAGCTCAGACTCTAAGGCCTTCTTGTTTTCTCTTTCCTCAACGAGGCTCATCTCCAATCCATGCTTTGTTTCATTTGCAGTAGATAGAACATTCTCTAGTCCCTGTTTGGCTTCTATCCCTTCAGCAAGTTGCTTCTCTAACCCCTGCTTCAATTCATTTGCAATAGAAAGCTCTGATTCCACCGTCTTCCTGATTTCCTTTTCTTCTGCGAATTCTTTCTCTAGTTGCTGCTTTTCTTCTTTCTCTACAGACAGTTCTATTTCTAGTGCCTGCTTTACTTCATTTTCCTCGAGAAGAGTCCTTTCTAATTCCTGTTTGGTTTCTTTCTCATTCGATAGGGTATTCGCTAGTTCCTCTTTTGTTTCTCTCTCTTGAGCGAGAGCCTTTTCTAGTCGATGTTTGCCTTCAGTCTCTTCAGTTAATTCCTGTTCCGACTTCTGCCTGGCTTCCTTTTCTAGCAGAAGCTGGGTTTCTAAAGCCTGCTTCTCTTCGCCGAGCTCAACCAAAGTGTTCTCTAATTCTTGCTTGGTTTCCTTCTCTTCAGCAATTGCCTTTTCTAATCTTTCGTTGACTTCTCTCTCGTTATTCAGAGTCTTTTCTAATTCCTGTTTCTTTTCTGTCGCTTCAGTAAGTTCCTTTTCTAATCCCTGCTTTTCCTCTTTCTCTATCGAAAGCTCTGATTGAACCCTCATCCTGGTTTTCTTCTCTTCAGCAAATTCCATCTCTAGTTGTTGCTTTCCTTCATTCTCTACAGAAAGTTCTATTTCCAGTGCCTCCTTTACATTCCTTTCCTCTAGAAGAATCCTCTCTATTTCCTGTTTGGTTTCTTTCTCATTTATTAGAGCGTTTTCTAATTCCAGCTGGGTTTCTCTCCTAACAGAAAGTTCTGATTCCAATCCCTGCTTAGTTTCTTTTTCATTAGAATAGGCTCTCTCTAATTCCTGCTTGAACTCTCTTTCCTCAGAAATTACTTTCTCTAATACCACCTTACTTTCTTTCTCCTCAGCAACTGCCTTCTCTAATCTCTCGTTAGTTACTTCGATATCTGCGAAGGTAATCATTAATTCTTCTTTGGATTTACTTTCCACAGAAAGCAATTTCTCTAATTCTAGCTTGGCCTCCTGCTCCTGCTCTAGTGCCTTCTCCAGTGCCTGTTTATTTTCTTCCACGTCTGACAAGGCATTCTCTAATGCTTGCTTGGTTTCTTTTTCCTCAGCAAGAGTCTTCTCCAATCCCTCCACGAGTTCCCTTTCCTTTGCAAGCTGCTTCTCCAATCCCAGTTTATTTTCTCTCTCCTCGCCAAGCAAACTCTCTGATACCTGATGGGCTTCCCTCGCCTCAGAAATTAGCACCTCTAATCCTCGTTTGGTTTCTGTCAATTCTGCAAATGCCTTCTCTAATTGCTGTGTTTTGGCTCTCTGCTTAGCAAGCACATCATCAAGTTCAAGATTTGACTCATGCAAGGAGCTGCAGTCGTGTTTCAGTTGATCAACGTTAACCTGCATCGCGGCCGTTAATTCGTCTAAGTCTTGCACTTTAGCTTCTAAGTCAACGTTCGTTTGTACTAACCTGGCACTGGACGTTTGCAGCTGCTCTATTTCCACCGACCTCTCACTGAGCTCTGCATGCAGCACGGTGGCTCTCTCCTCCGACTGTCCTTGCCTCGCTTCCACTTCCAACCTCAGTTCTTCGCCCTTCTGCTGCAGTTCCGCCAGGTAGCGCCTCGTGTCTGCAAGCGAGGCGGTCAGCATCTCGACCTCGGCGGCTTTGGCATCTCGCGAGGCGGTCAGCGTGTCGACCTCGGCGGCTTTGGCCTCGAGCGAGGCGGTCATTGTCTCGACCTCGGCGGCTTTGGCCTCGAGCGACGCGGTCAGCGTCTCGACCTCGGCGGCTTTGGCGTCTCGCGACTCGATCAGCATCTCGACCTCGGCGGCTTTGGCGTCTCGCGACGCGGTCAGCGTCTCGACCTCGGCGGCTTTGGCGTCTCGCGACGCGGTCAGCGTCTCGACCTCGGCGGCTTTGGCGTCTCGCGATGCGGTCAGGGCGGCCGCTCGCGTGCTCAGCTCGGAGTTGCGGTCCCGCTGTTCATCCAGCTGCTGCTGCAGACGAGCGATTGCGTCGCTGTCGCTGCCGGTTCTACTCTGCAAATCGGACAGCAGCGCGGCTTGCTGCTTCTTCTTCTGCTTCAGCTTGTCGATCTTAGCGCCCTGGTTGCAGTTGGCTTCGTTCAACGCGACGAGTTTATCCTGAAGGTCAGCAAGGATGCCGTCTTTCGCGGCCAGGCTTTCTCTCAGCTGCCCGCATTCGATCTGGAAAATTCACGAGTCAATGTTTTTTTTTACAAACCTGTGCGTGAATGGATAGCTTTGCAACCGTGTAACTTTAATTAAAAAGTTTAAATTTACATATTTAAAAACTGTTTAAAATTTTTTTTTATTTAAACAAAATATTTTAACCTTATACTGTTAGCAATTCAATAAAATGCTCAACACTAAGCATCTGTGTGGATTTATAATGTTAGTTTAGCACAGACAATACCAAATATAACAGTGTATCACGTGCATACATGCACACAAAACACGTTATGCATGGATGCACACACACAAACACAGATTATGGATTATGACATATACATGCACGCATGCAGGTACACCTACTGAACATCTCTGCAAGACAGGCTCCCAATTAAGTGATTAACTGTTAATGGCACCAATTAAATTAAGTTACCTCCAAGTCCTTCTTCTCCTCCTGAAGGGCCAACGTGTTCTGATGCATGTCAGATGTCTGCTGTTGAAGCTGCTCTCTCTCCGTTTGGTACGCCTGTCTTTCTCTATCCAGCTCCTGGTGAAGTTCCACCTTCTCCACTTTCTCTGTTTCAGATTTCTCCTTCTCCTTTACCAGCCGCTCATGTAACACAACCCTCTCTTGCTCATGGTTTTCCATCAAGCTCTTTACCTCCTGTTGAAGTTGTTCCTTCTCCATTTTCTCTGTTTCAGATTTCTCCTTCTCTTTTACCAGATGCTCATGTAACACAACCCTCTCTTGCTCATGATT